TGCAAACTATTTGTTTTTCACTGTTATTTTTCTGTTCTCACCTCGCGTACATGCAGCTCTGAGGATGCCTTAAGGTAAATGCCATATAAGACGAGAGGTTAAAATGGAGGAATGATCTTTTGCATGTATCCACTTTATTTGATCAAGTGTATATTTTAAGCTTACTGTTAATAATAAAATGTTGGATGATATGTGTCTTATATGATAACTATCAATCTTGGATATGTGGATTAACTAAATTTTATACATTTACATTTCCACAGGCATACTTACGATTGAAAACTACCTTTCGTGAAATTTTGCGAACTGAATTTTTTTTAAATGTTAGATAGCATAGGCTAGAATTTGATAATTATAAATGGCCAGTAACTGCTTGAGATCAATAGCGCAAAAATAGTTATTTAAAAAATGTTCTTGCATTACTTGAATAAACATGCGACTTGATTCTACGAATTTGTTTGCGGTGATATTACAAACATTTGATAGAGGCGACTTCAAAGAAGTAATTTGAGTAAATCGAAATTGACTAAAAAAGAGGATAATAAGCGAATATCGCAATTGTAGATAAAAGTATTCATTAAAGTTTCAGGACGAGTTGAAATCAAATATCATATCTACAAACAATTCATAAGTTGCGCCATGACCTGCCTTGCGAGGAAGTCATGCTCATATGGTAAAGCCTCTGTAAGGGAAGTCCTGCAGACCCATCGAGAAGAGACTATGTGAACACAAATCCGCATGTAGATGTGTGTGGGTCCAAAAGGCTGTGCTCTCTGAACACTTGGCTAATACAGGACAGTTCCACCAGAAGACGACGGCGGATTTATCTTGGCCAGCTTTCGATTGGCTTTCCTAGAAGATTCACGCTTGTCTAGTTAGCCGGAATTTTGTTGTGACGATGTTACCTCGCTCTGATGATGTCCGTCATATGAAGGAATCGAAGTATATTGCCTCGGAAACAGCGTCAGCATGAATCTTACAGTAAAGCCAATCGACAGCTGATCAAGAGGAATGTACCGTCGTCTTTTGGTGGAACCGACCTTCGAAGCTCTTCACCCAAAACTTTCACTCAAAATGGAAGTAAGCTCAACAATTATGAAACATGAGATTCCTCGAAACCCAACTTTTCTTCGCATATAATACAGGACACTTAGTAGACTGGTCCCAGCCGAAGTTTTGCCGGTTAAAAGGACTTCACATTAAAGTGTAAGATTAGGGAATCTATAGAAATTAACAAATCATTTAATGTTTTAAATAGGAGGAACGAGTGTAAAAAAGTGAATAGCAACTTTTTCTGGCTGTTGGATAGACTTATTCATTTGAAAAGACAGATACAGCAGCAAGAGTCACTGAGCAAGAGAAGGAGTTTGAATTAGCCTCGAGTCTAGGACTAACACATTTATCATGATGTGAATATGGCAAACACACACACAATACACACAATAGACAATAGCACTAATCCAAAGATAATTCAACATTAGCGAATCTTACACTAGTTTATTTGTGAAAGGAAATAACTACTACCGAATGCATTTCCGGTTTTTTCGAAGTTATTTCACTCATCAGTAATGCTTCATTAATTCTTATATGACATTTTTTATTTCGAAGTAGAAGTCGATTGGACGGAATTCGTGGTGTCGTCGCACTGGAAACCAAGGGAAGAATGCGATTCCGATCAACCTGTGACTGACATCATCAGGGAAGGTATCCATACTTCACGAAATAGAGCAAAAATATACTCTTGGTTTAGTGAGCCGAGGACTTCTTTGTACAATACAATTTTCCCTTGGTTTCCACCATGAATTCTGTCCCTTCTAAATGGAATGTCATCTCACAATATATCACTAAGGAATTCTTTAAAATTCCGTTTATCTTCAATGCTTAATTTGGTTGTGATCTTGTTTGAAGATGAGGTTTATGCGATTAAAGCATATGAATAGTTCTGGTGACCAGTTTCCCATTATATTTGTGGTCGCCATGCCAATCTGGCTGAGCGGCAATACGTATAATTCAAGAGGGGACCCTGCTGGCATCCAATTGCCAAATCTTTCCCTTCTCACATCCAACGGTATGAGTGTAAGTGTAAAAGTTATTCAAAGCCATCATCACACACGGACCATTGAAATCTAAACCAGATGCCTACCGATTCCCCGTTTGTTGTACAGCTCCTCCCAGTCTTCCTTAGTTCTCGGTAAAGACTCGTTTGCCAGTACCGGCACAGTTCCTATCGCCCAGCAGATGTTGTCGGAATAGGCTCTATAGGCGGCCTCCGGCGTGGCCGAAGATGGCAGCAGACAGTCTATGGAGCTGAAGAAGTAAACTCGTGTTATGTGGACGGCGCAGATGGCCAAGAGAATAGCCGAGGTGTATGTAGAACTCATCCGATCGGCAAAGTCCTCAGCCAGAAAATTGTTCTGGTAGTTTGTCCCACCGACGAACACGAAGTCTTTCACAATCTTATCCGCGAAGGTGGCCATTCAGGCGAATGTTGCTTGTGTCCTGTGCCGAGCATGCAAAAGGTATAAATAGGTCTTAAATACACATTTCGCATGGAGACAGCAACATTCTGAAATGCTCTCTCTGGCCTCATTGTCAGAAAGGTTAGAGTCCACTCGAGGCCCCATTCTTGCTGACATTTCGACTAGGCGCACCATTCTCATTTGTCCACCAGGCTTGCTGGTCGCTTATACATTGGCGCTTACGAGGCTGTTATGTTGATATATTACTCGACAATCGCTTGTTATTTCTGCACCTGATAGACGTTGTCTTAACAATGAGGCGATGGGAAGGCATGCGTCGCAAACGATTGTCTCAGCTTTGGGCTGAAAGCGGTCTCCAACTCGTCTGAGCCTCATCGGCAGCACAGGCTGGATTCTGGATTTGGACTGTTTAGTTAACATGTTAAATATGGCTTCAGCAGTTTCTATCTTTCAAGGGACTTTTGTCTTTACAGGCGACCAAACAAGAGATTGAGATACGTTGCGAAATGCCTAGAAAGACTGTTTGCAAGCTTCTTATAATTTAAGGAAAACATAATCTTGCTAGAATGACCAGCACTATGGGCAAATAGTTTGGCTTTTCTAGCTGTAGCATTAAAATACATGCATTTTATGGATTTTACTAGTCATCCAGCAGGAAATGTGTATTCAATCTCATCTTAATAGAGTTGGTAGCACCAGCTCAAGGCTAGTCTGGAGTCCATTGTCTTCATGATCATTTCCAAAGTTGAACCATGGACGTGGTACAATCCCAAACATTTCGCCGGCATCATAGTCGGCATCTTCAGCGGGTCTCGCCATTTTTAGCACAACACAACAACTCGTCAAAGAGACAAGTGAAGCCGATCCTTTGACCAAACGTGTTCACATGAAATCTGCTGAAAAGGGCACACCGTACCACATTTAATTAAGCAAGTAAAAATTGTGACATTGAAGACGTGATTGGAGGATATGGGAAATGTGAATAGGCCAGGGCAGAAGGGGAGATACCACAATTGTTTAGCACACGTTTGTTCAAATGATTGGCTTCACTTGTCTCTTTGACGAGTTGTTGTGTGGTGCTAAAAATGGCGAGACCCACTGACGATGCCGGCGAAACGTTTGGGAATGTACCACGTCCACGGTCCAACTTTGGAAATGATCATGCATATAATGGACTCCAGACTAGGTGTGTTCCTCTAAGTATTCCTACCAATATGACCAAGTTGTGAAAATAAGGTCAAACAACTTCTTTACCACGAAAGGAAATCTGGGAGATGATGAGTTAAGATGAGATGAGATGAGATGAGATGAGATGAGTTGAGATGCGATCAGATGAGATAAGATAGGATATGATGAAATGAGATGAGATCTAATGAGATTAGATTTGATTAGATGAGTTGAGATGAGATAAGATGAGATGAGATGAGATGAGATGAGATGAGATGAGATGAGATGA